ATTAATTAATTTTATATATATATATATATACTGTATATACTTTATATACAGTATATTTCTATATCTATATAAATCTAATATATTTAAAAAAAATAACAATAAGTTTTGCTTACATTATTTTATTGGTGTTATATTGTGTACGATAGACCATCATTACCATCACATATACACTGATTTTTTTTTTATAGATACCAGTGCTCTGTAAGCCATACGGGTGTCGTGAGGGGGTTGATTAGATGGACATGTAATATATATATATATATATATATATAGTTTGTAAACTTTTTTGTTTGTTTGTTAATTATTTGCATTTTTTCACACATAATCTCTCTTTCAAATGTAATTATATAATAATTTATTTTTGAAAAAAAATTTAAAACAATTTGTTTTCAAAAAAAGCAATAAAAGTGACAAACAAAAAAAAGTAATAAAACTAAAAGTCTGGTACAAACTGTACATACCATATGTTCACCACTACTAGTCAACTGACACATATCGACCCCCCACCCTCCCTAACATATTGATTACAGAGCACTGGTATACAAATACAAAAAACAAAAGTGCAAATGTATATATATAGTAATTATATTATATACAAATATAAAATAACATTAACTTTATGTAATAATAATATAATATGTAATTAATTTATATACTAATAAATAAATGTATTTATAATATATGTTGAAAAAAATATATTTTTTAAAAAACTTATTTAATATTTGAATTATTAATATAAAATAATAGAAACTGTTTTTCAAAAAAAAACATTAATTATTAATATTTTATTTAATTTATTTTATTAAAAAACTGTAAATATAAAATAATATATATATAATTATACTTTTTAAAAAATCAATTTTGTTGAAATTTTATTTGCTAAATATAATAAAAAAAWTTTWAATTATTAATAAAATCATATATAATTATACTTATTATTTGTATTACTTAATTAATTACTCTTATTTACTAAATTATAATTTTAGTTAACAAAAACTAATTGGATTTGTATTTAGAGTTTATTTTAAAAAAAAAATTATTAATTTTATTATAATTATTTCAAAATATATATATTTAAAAAATTTATTCAATAAGTATTAAGATTATCGTTAAGTGAATTGAAAATTAATTTAAATAGAAATATATTGAATTTAAAATTAAAAAATTTGTCAAAAAATTTTACAACAAATTAGTCAACAATTATTTTGATGTGAAACATGCAATCAAAATGAATGTTAAATTACAAACTTATTATTTGAACAAATCATTTGTAATAAAATAAATCACTGATTAAAATGCGATTATTATGACTGCAATCAGTAATTAACAACAAACCTATGGATAATAATAATAATAATAATAATATATATCTATATAAAAAAAATATTTATTAATTAATGTATTATTCAATTATAGTTATAAGTTATATACTAATATGATATTTAATTAATAATAATAATTATTATTATCGTAAAAAAATGTCAATTTATTTCTCATAAAATAATAAAACATTTCCTTATTTTCAGTCAACTTATCCTTTGCTGTGGCGACGGTATAATAGCCATCATTATCTGATCCAATCATATCTTCATCATCGATGTCATCATCGGTTTCATCGCTATCTTCTTCAGTCATCTCTTCTACTTCTTCATCATTAGTCTCATAGAACTCTTCTTCAGTCATATCTTCTTCTTCTTCATCTTCAGTCTCATCTTCAGTATTATATTGTTCTTCGCTGTTGTCCATCACTTCTTGTCCATCGATGATATACTCACTGTTGTCGTCGTCGACGACAACGACACCTAAGTTAGGATTGTTTTCAATTTCATCCAATGCTTTGTTAAAATAAGTCGTGTCTTGTTTTCTTTGTCGACGACGACGACGACGAAGTATTCCCAACAAGTGTCTGGTTTCCAGGTATGGCCACAGATATTGAACGGCCACTACAGCACTGGTAGTATAGAGTAGTAGCCATAAAAAACACACTGTGTTATATGACAACACTAGGGGTCTCACCCCTACCCCCACCCCAACAACCCTCAATAGATACTGACCTCTCGTAGGTGCCGAAGAAAAATACGGGATATTTTCCGGGACCTACTGTATAGCCGGGCGGCGGTTCGGCCACAATCTGTGCCACGCGGACGGACAATGTGGAGGACAGATAGACAGACAAACATAAATCGGTTAGTTTTATGGTGTGTATGTAATAAACAAATTATGGGATATAAGATAGTGGTGGGGATGGGGGTGGTAGACAACCTACCCGTGCCGGCCACGGAGGATAGCCAATCACTTTGGCAAATACCAGATCGCCGACAGCGTAGTTCAAACGGCGGACAGGATTTGGTGGCATTTTTTTAAGGGTATTATTATTATTATTACTACTAGTAGTAGTAGTGGACAGTTATGTGTGTTTTTGTGGTTTTAAATACTATTAAAAAAACAAATTATATTTAATTAAAATAAAATTATTTATATAAAAAAAATATTTTCATAATATATTTTACAATTGAAGTACAGTTTTATTTTTGTTTTTATTTTGTATGCAATTATATATATAAATATAGATATATATATAATTTTGATATATAATAGGATATATATATATACAGTATTTACTAAAGTTTATTATTATAATTCAATTAATTTTCAAATACAGTACACTGTTTGTCATAATAATTGATTATAAAATATATTAATATACAGTCTATATACAGGTATTATATACAATAGTACAGAATTATAGTAAAATAATTTCAAATTAAATTATATTAAATATTTTATAATTTTTTTAATAATAATAATAATAATTATTAAATACTGTTATATATTAGTTTAACTAATTGGAAATATATATATTATTCATATATATGTTAATTTATAATGTAATCATCGATACTGTATTTTATAAACAGTATTTTTCTATAAAATATAATCAATAATAATTAATTAATCATTTAAATAGTAATTATTATTATTATTAATCATTAATCATTAATCATTAATAAGTATAAAATTAATAATAATACAAATTGTTTAATAAAAAAAATAAATCACTTTATTATCTCAAAAAAATATACAAACATTCAAAATGTTTAAATAAAAAAAAATACATTATTTAAAAATTATACCAAAATAATATATATTTAATTACTTTCATTTAATTCATCGACAAATGTTTCCTGAATATCGGCAATTTGTTTTCGGGTAAACATATGGCCAAATCCATCGGCTAATGTTTGGACACCATCGGGAACCGTAATCAATGATCGGTTATAATTACCGCCCAATCGTACAGGTATCGAATCGGCCGATAAATAATCGGTTAGTTCCTCACTGGTAACCGATCGATAAATACTACGTAGATGTTGGTCCATAAAACCGATAATTACCGCAACGGCCAGATTCATATACCACGGTAAATCAATGTTCAACAAATAGCGGACACCTCCCGGATAGTGCTGTTGCAAACAATTGATCATAAAATTACTGTACCCGATGTCCATGTTGGCCATAGATAGTTGACTAGTATCGGCAATCATTGACCAACCCGAGTGACTAATGGACTCCCGATCAATAAGTTCCAGTTGATAGACAATAAATTGTTTGGCCAGTGCTGACCACTGGCTGCACGGCCGGTGTCTGAACGTTTGTATCCATAGCACCGGTCGATCGTTGCGATCCCGACAAAACCTAACCAAACCACCGATTCGGTACATTTCAGCGGGAAATGATCGGGCGGTCAATTGGTTGACACCCGACTGTTTACGCCATTTCATTGTTGAGACCAATCGGTCGAGTGCTTCGTCCTCTCGGTTATTGGTGTCCAATAGGAACCGTTCGATCCACCAGTCCTTATGGCCAACCATTTCCGTATCTTTCGGGTCAAACAATTCACGACTCGACTGGTTATTAACTATCGATAAAAATTTTTCACGTATTTTACTAATAGTTATACTAATAGTACTATTAGTAGTATTAGTATTATTATTATTATCGGTTATATTGAAACCAATAGATATTGTCGATTGATTTGACTGTTTATATAATAATAATATGAATATTAATTTATTGATTATTTTGAGTATAATTTATTTTTTTATTTTTTATTACTTACATTATTATACAAATATAGAGATATTATTATCAAAAATAAGACAATAATTATAATTACAATAATAATTATCATATATTTGATAACTTTTAATAGTCGGCTACACATTATTGTCAGAGAGAGAGAGAAAAAAAAACAATTTAAATAATAATAATAATAATAAATAATTTATTTATAATTTATAAAAATATGAATTGTTAAATAAATATTTAGATTTATCACTTATATAATTATATTTATTAACACTAAATAAAATATATTTTTAATACAAAACAAAAATTTTAACTATTATTATTGCTATGTTATATATATATATATATATATATATATATATATATATATTATTAATATATAAATATTTAGATATAAAATGCCAATATTTTGAGTTAATGTTTTTTAATGATTACATATTTTGTTTATAAATTAATTATCTGTTTATTTTAAGAAAAATAATAATAATAATAATAATCATTTATTACATAATTTTCTATAAGTTTAATATACAGTATATATATATATATATTAAGATATTTTATTTGTTTTTTATATATTGCTATGATTTTTATTTATTTATATTTTTGGTGACAATTTGATAACAACAACAAAAAAAATTTTGATAGTTAACAGTTAGTTAATTATTGTTTTTTATATATTGATATATATATATATATATATATATATATATATATATATACTGTATATAATATATATGCTATATTTAAATGATATAATATATCATTAATTTAAATAATAATAATTAATTAACTAACTAACAAAAATACAAATATGATTATTTATTCATGTGATTAAAAACTAAATAAACAAAATTTATCTAAACTTTTAGTAGTTGTTTGACATGTGATTATAAATAAAAATAAGTTTTTTTTTTATTTTAGATAAATATATATCAATATTTATATTAAATATTTATTAAACTATTGTTTATCATAATATAGTTTTATACTATTGATATCAACAACAAAAAAATATATATATTTTATTTTTTTCTGGTAAATATTTAATAATTATTTTTATGTATAGTTTATATTTATGTATCATATTACCTTGTATATATATATATATTTGTCTAATTACTAAAATAAATAGTTTATTTTATTAGTATCAGATAACTAACCGATTTACTAAATTTAATAATTAATATTTTTTTGGATAATTTAATTTAAGATATTAATTTTAAAAAAATGTTAGTGTATAAATATTGCAATTTATTTATTAAAAAACATATTTAATAATATTAATATTACATTTATATATTAGATAAAACAAAATAATTTAATTGAAAAATTTGATTAATTTTTTTTTATAATACAATATATATTAAACAAAATAATAATAATATGGAAAAATAATTATTATCTATTGTTAGCAATTTAAATACACTTAATATTTTTTAGTTGCTTACAATACAAGCTAAAAAAATTGAATTATTAAACATTTATTTAAAAAAAATAATTAAATCAATCAAAATACATTATTATTTTAGCTAGCTTAGTTTAAATTGTTGAAATAAAATTATTTATATATTTATATTAATTATTTATTGTGTCGTTTTTATATATTTATTTAAAATCGTGATTTACTAAAAAATAAAAGTAATCAATTTTATATTCATAATAGACAATTCATATTAATAATAAATATTATTGTATATTATTATTATCATTAAATTATGTATTATTATTAATACTAAATACATTAAATAATAATAATAATAATATTTTTTTGGTTGACTACAAAAACAAAATTTTTTTTGAAGGTTATTATGTAAGACTGTATTAACTTTTAAAATGTAGTTATCATTGATTTTTTAAAATAAAAATATATTACAAAATATACAACATATATATATATATATACAATATATAATATATAATATATATATAACTGTAAGTATATGTATGTATGTGTCTATGTGTATGTATGTATGTATGGTATATACAATACAGTAGTTTAACTGTGTGTGTGTGTGTGTGTGTGTGTGTGTGTGTGTGTTTAGTGATATATAATTATATTAAATATACTATATATATATACAGTAAATGTAATAATTTTTTATATTATCTTAATATCTAATATATTAAAAACATTTTATTTTATTTTTTTGAAAAAAAGAGGGATTGTTTTTGTATAAAAATAAAAATAATAATAAATTATGTGTATACTATGTGTATAATATAATTTATTTTGTTGTATTAATATAATTTTTTAGTTGTTTAGTACAAACAGTTTATATCATATCATATCAACAACAAAAAAAATAGATATGATTTTTATAGTTATTAATATTTATATTATGATAAAATAAAAATTTCAGTATTATATATATATAATTAAGTGCAACTAAATAATAATAATAATCAAAAAAATACTAATAATAATACAATAGAAGTTTACTTTATTTTATATACAGTTTATTGTTTTTGAAAATATTTAAATAGTTTTTAAATAAAATTATTTAAATATAATAGATATTTTAGATATATACTGTATATATGGTATAAATAGCTACTGGTGCTCTCAAAAATAACTAACTAACTATATCTATACACTGTATCTCCCTATATCTCACCAAGCAGTTTCCCAAATCAACCAATCAATCATCATCATCATATAAATATTTTTAAAGCTAACTGTGCGCTACGCGGATACCCCTGGTGTGTGTGTGTGAGTCAGCTCATCATCATCATCATCATCATCATCAGCACCGGTATGTATATATATATATACTAGTTTATCAACTATACATACATATATATACTGTATATAACTGTACTCATCTAATATATAATTAATTTATTTGTTATGTATCCTTGTTTGTCAAGTAAATTACTTTAACTGTAAATATTAGTGTATATCTACAGTACAGTATAGTGTAGTTGATTTAGCTCCGGCATCTCAAATATATATATATATATATACAGTATATATATATATATATATATATATACAGTATATAGTATATAATAAAAATTTTTGAAAAATATTATATAAAAAACTAATAATAATAATAATACTAACAGTGCGCTTGTGTAGTTTAGTTGAACAAAATAAAAAATATATATATATATAAACAGTATATACTGTATATATATTATGTTATTATTATAAAATTGTTTGATAACAAAACTGTTTGTATTTAGTATTATTTAAAATTTAAAAAAATCAATTAACTATTGTCTATTGTCATAATTGGGCACTAATTGTGTGCTAAAAAAAATAATCCTACAATAGTTGAACAGGTGTTTTTTTAAAAAAAATAATTATCTACCAGTGCTCTATCTAACCACCCTCTCAGCTAACAGTCCTCTATAATATTTAAGCTAGCTACAAAAAAAGTGCATTATTTTTATATAGCAACAATTTGTTATCAAGGTAAGTCATATATATAAATTGAATTTTATTGAAAATATAAGTATTCAAAAAAAAATATATTTGATAATTAATTAATTTTTATCTAATATTACATTATTATTATTATTATTATTATATTTATTATAATTATTTTTTATAATTATTTTCAATTATGAAATACTGTCTAACATATCAATGAATATATTAAGTATATTTATAAAAAAAATATTTTTATCATTAAATATATTAGTGAAAGTTAATAGCAAATAAAAAAAACAAAACAAAAAATAATTAAATTAATATCAATTCAATTGAATTTTCTTATACTAAACTATAACTGTCCTAATTATTTATAATTTTAATTTTTTTAAAAATAAAATTTAAAAAATTAAATATTAATATTATATAGTATTATAAATACTAATAAAATTAGATTTTTATATTAAATATTGCGTACAATCAAACAAACATAAAAATAATAAATATAAATATTATTTATTTATTTTTATTAAAGTTTCCTTTTAAGTACATTAAATAAATAATTTTTATGACATTTAATTATTTATTTATTTATTTTTATAGACTATACATAACTTTATGTAATTTAATTGAATTTAATATTATATAAATGCATAGTAATAATAATAATAATACTAATGTACATGTAATTATAATAATAATAATCATAATCATGGTTAAATTAATCAACAACAAAAATTATTATATATATATATATATATTTATTTTTACATAATATTGATTTACATAAAAATTTATTACAATATTATTTTTCAATCATAAAAAAAATTGTTTAACATGTGTTTTGAATTAATTTTGACAAAACTGTTTTATTTTATAATTTAATTTATTTGTTGATATTTTACTTAAATATTTTTTTTTATAAATAAAAATGATATTAAACACACACACACACATAACACATGCATAATATATAATAAATTAATGTTAAACACTTGACATAAATAATTGAAATTTTTAGATTTTATTAAGTTTTTTTTAGTACATATAAATATTTTAATGTTTGATAATTACTATATTATTATTATTATTATTATTATTATTAATCATTAAATAATATCGACAAAACTCGATTGATTTATATTACCATAAAAATAATTTTCATTTAAAAAAATATGCTAATACTATAAAATTAATAAAATTAATTTTTGAATAAACTAAACTAATTAACAAAAAATTTAAATAAAAATTTGCACTTTTTTAAAATATATAATAAATTTTTATAGATGATGTGTTGAAATTTAATAGTAATTATTTTTATGCACTGATTTAATAATTTATTTATTTTATAACTAATAATAATAATAATAATAATATTTTATAATATAATAATAACTAATAATCATTAGTTTTAATGATTAATAATATACAATGAAAATAACTTATTATTTATTAGTTGTGAATAATAAAAAACTAATAATAATAATAATGACACTAAATATAAATATAAAAAATATTATAATATTAAGACATTATATTAATTAGATTTATTTTTTATATATAAACTAACAAAACGTTTATTATTATTATTATTATTATTATTATTTAATATTAATAGTTTAATTCAGTATAATATATTTGTTGTGTCATATATTTATGTAAATTTATAAAAATTATTAACAAATAAATATTAAAAATATTTTCTTTTTTTTAATTTAAAAATAATTTATAATAATAAATGTCAGTCACGTTTTCAATCTTATATTTATTAGAAAAAAATTATTATAATTATTCATATAATTTAGTTAACAAATATTATATACATATACAGTATATTATATATATATATATATATTAAAATTTAATATAATTAAACTTCTAATAAGTTTACAAATTATAATTAGATTAACATTTTTTTATATATAAGTGTATAATAAGTACAGTATATATATAAGTATTATATTAATACAAAATATATTATTAAATTTATTTAAAATAAAATTGAATTTTGTATTGTTATATATGTTTGGTTACTATTATTACATATTTATTGTTATGATATACAGTAAAATATAATTATAATTATTTAATATTAATGTCCATATGTTTCTATTAGTTGGCAAATAAATAAATAAATATTAATAATATTATACTGTAAGTAAAATATTAATACTAATAATACTAATAATAATAATCTAAACATAATTATGATAAATTTGAATTATATTTATAAATTAATTTAATTATTTTTTTTTTATCAAATTTGTTTTAAACCATTTAGTTGTTGCACCAAAAAAAATAACTAATAATAACTAAAGTATAATATTCATAAAATACTAAATAAAATTTTATTATTAGTATATAAATTAATTTAATACTGTTTTTATTTAACTAATATATATATATATATTAAATGATAAGATGATACGGTTTTTTATCATTGAAAAAAATTTTTTATTATCAAATCAAAAATTATATTATTATTATTAATATTATTATAAATTTTTTTGTAATTAGATAACAATTAATATTTTTCTACATTTATATAATTATGGTTTTTTAAAAAATTTATATATTTAGCTATTGGCGTGAGAAACACCTTTAATTATAACTAATATATAAAAATTATTATTATTATTATTACCTAAATGATAGACATAACATAAATCTAGTTTACCTTGAATTTAATTGTACATTACATTTTCAATATAAAAATATTATATAAATTATATATATATATAATATACAGTATATATATACAGTAGACAATTGGAAATTACTTTTTATAAAATTATATTAAATAAATGTTGTTTTAAACGGCCAGTAATTATATGTTTTCAAAAAAAAAAATTACATTTACTGTACTTATTGTATATAAAGTTATCAATAATTTTCTTTATTATCCTTAAAAAAATATAATATTTTATTCAATTATATTAAGAGGATATATAAAAAAAATACCAAACTATTGGGGATTACAAGTAATTTATTATTAATATATATATATATATATATATATTATTGTTAGTAAATCTCAATTATTTTAAAATTATTTTATATAAGTTTAATAAATTTTATATTATTAATAATGTATTTTTAATATATATATATATACAGTATACTAATATATCAGAAATTTTATTATTATTTTATTGCTATTAATAACACAACACAACAAACAAATAATTTTTTAAAAAACTATTAATAATAATAATAATAATAATATTGTTTTATATTTATCTAAAAAATTTTTTTAGTTGTAATCAACTCATCAAAAAAAAAATCAAACAAATTTCAACAATACTTAATATACAGTATATATAAATAGTTTAACTACAAAAAAAACAACTGGTGTTCCCCCCCATAGAAAAACCTAACCAAACCAACCAATCAACCAAACAAAATGTCGGTCAACAAGGAGGTGGTCGACCGTATTAGGTCGACATTCCTGTCAATGGCCAGCGATTCGCCGGCCGACGACTATCATCCGAAAGATATGGATCGGATACGTCAAAAGGATTGGCCAATTGAACGATTTGTATTGACCACAAAATCGGAAGATCAGGCACTGGCCGGACTCGTAAAGGCAATGAAATGGCGTAAATCCTATGGTGTCAATGATTTCCGGGATGACCAGTTTCCCGAAGAAATGTATCGAATGGCCGAATACAGTCAGTTTGGTCGCGACCGTGAAGGCCGTCGGATATTGTGGACACAGATGTCACACCATCATCGGTGCGCTGACTGGAATCAACTGTTGAAACAGTTTATTGTCTATCAGTATGAACTGTTGGACAGAGATCAGGATCGGGAAGGCGGTTGGGCAGTGGTAGGCGATCCTACCGGTGCTGGACTGGGGAACGTTGAAATGGATTTCAATAATTTTACTGTAGATGTCCTACAAAGTTATTACCCGAAAGGTCCGAAATATATGCTAGTGGTTGACTTGCCGTGGGTTTTGACGGCTACGGCCAAACTGATTATGGCATTCATGAATGAACATCTCCGGCAAACGGTTAAGTTTATCAAACGTGATGAACTGGATGCTTATGTATCACCGGAGTACATACCTGTCCATATGAAAGGTGGCCAGTATGATAAGCCATTGGTTCAGATACCCGAGGGTGTCCGACCGTTGGACAAACACGAACAGTTTACGGCCGAYCAGATCAAGAAAATCTATTCGACCTATAAATCGGAGCTCAAGTAGTTTTTTTACAAAAGTAATAGTTGGGTAGGACTGGTCCGCCCCACCCCACCCCCACTTTTATACTACCTGTCCGTTTATCAATTAGTTATTATTATTATTATTATGATAATTACGATTATATAATATATATATGTTATACATATTTGTTAATGTATTCAATATTTAGTTTTATTTTTCAATTATATAATGTTTTTTTTTTGGTTTGTTTTGTTATTTAAAATAATTCAAACAACAATTTGCTATATATATACTGTATGTTTTATATAAAAAATAAAATTAAATAAATATTTTTTACTAATTTTTTTTTTGAAAAATGTTTTATATTATATACATATTGTGTGTATATTTGATTATAATTTTTTTTTTTAAATAAAATGTTATACATATACTGTTTAGAGAAAAAAATAAAATAAAAAAAACAACCATGTTAATCAATGCTATTTTTTCTAATTAATAAAAAAAAATTAATTTACTGTATGATTACAATTTATTGTTAACTAAAAAAAAAACAAACTAATAAATAAATTACTTAAATGTTTATTATTGTTTATAAATAAAATAAGCCATAAACTAATTTTTTAAAAATATATTTAATGTTTAATAACTGTTTAAATACATAAACAATATTATTATTTGATAATTTTAATTTCAAATTGTAATTTCAAAAAAAAATACAATACATTAAAAACCCTAAATATTTATGTTTTTTATGTAATTAAATAAAAATGTTTATCTAATCAAATAATAATAGATAAATATTTTTGAATTTTATTTATCTATATATTGATATTATTATAATATAAATATAAATAATTATATAATAAACATGGTTATTTTTTGGTATACAATTTTTTTAAAAAAAATTAAATAACAAAATTATTTTTTACATTTATAGAAATTAATGTTTTATATATAATATATATCAATATATAACAGCTTTAATTTTACAATATATATATATATATATATTATCTGTATAATAATAATAATAATAATTATTATTATTATTATTACTTAAATGATATAAACACAAAATATATATTACCTTGAATTTAATATAATTTTTATTTAAATAATTTTTTGTTGAAATTATTATAAAGTTTGTGTATATTTGAGTATAAATTAAATAAAACAAATCAATAAAATATAGTATAAAATAATTATTATTATTATTGGAAAATAAACCATATTTTTCAACTAACTTAATAAATATATTTAAAAAAAATGTTTAAAACTAAATGTTTATTAATAATCACAAAAAAATGTTTATTTTTTGAAATATACTAAAAAATAACAAAATATAAAACACAATATATATATATATAAATATATTTATATAAAAAATGTTWACATTAATATTTTGATTTGATTATTTATAACTAAAAAATTAGTTAAAAATAAAAAAAATAATAAAATCTATAAATTTTTATCTATTTAAATTAATTAATTAAAAATAATTTTAATTGTTATTTTTCTAATAATTTAAAACTGGTTTAAAATTTAAATACTATATATTATTATTTACTATTAAAACAAAAAAAAATTAATTGTCTTTCAATTTATTTCAAATATTATTAAATTGATTGATAGATAAATAAATAAAAATAATTTTTTTAATAATAAATAATTTTTTTAATAATAAATAAATTTAAAAAATAAAATAAAATAAAAAATTACACTAAACTTGTGTTTTTCGGTACAAAATTTCTAGACTCCATATATTCAAGCATTTGTTTGGGTATTGTTTGCAATATAGTGTTTGTTAGTCTACTTTCCAGTATATGTGTCGATGTTTGATAATTTTTCAATTGAAAAAACTATATTTTAAAAAAATAAATAAAAGATAAATAATTTTTATTAATAGGTTTTTTTAGAAAACATATAAATAGATTTAAAAAAAACATTTTATTTTTCAATAATAAGTATTTAATGTCTAAAATGTTTTTAGCATTTATAGTTGTTAAGCAATAAAATCTAAATAAATAAAAATAWTAAAATACTGTATTTTTTCATATATGAAAATTTTCCATAATTTTAATTAAAATAATTTTTTTTAATACTTACTAATTAATGTCATTATTTAAAAATTTATTTTGCATAAAGTTTTAGTATAAGTTAATTGTTTAAACTTAAAAAACAAAATAAATTATTATATTATTAATTGCAAACTAACAACTAAATTGCAATTTTCTGGAAACTTTTTATCTCATTTTTTTTATTTATATAAATAAAATTATTGTAAAAATACAYAGACTTATTGAATATTATTGAAATTTGTTGTTAGATGTCTTAATAATTYCTAAATTAATGTCTAAATAATTTTTTTTTGTGCAAATATTTTAATTGTTTTTTAATTATAATTACAAATATATACAGTACATTACCTGTACATTGTCTCTATAGGTACGGCAACCACGAGAACAGGTAGAGTCACCGCTCAGCCGTTTCAGATGATTGAACGGACAGTTGCCTACRCCGACAATGACAATACTGACCGGCATTGCCGACGCCCGGACAATGGCTTCGAGTGTATCGGCCGTATCCGTATGGCAGCCRCTGGTCAGTATAGTAAAGACAAAATAGTGTCTACCGTTTTGAAAATTTTTCGTCAACTGTACGACATGATTGATAACGGGTGCAAACGGWCGGCCAGTGTTGGCCGAGTTGGACGACGACGACGGTATCATAGACTTGAGCGATGCCCGATAGCATCGGCGCATATCGTCAACACTGTCACAGTAGGGAACTACCGATTGTTGGCCACCGCCGACACCCAGTCTCAGATTGAATGCATGCGAGACTGTGGGTTGACCAGCAAATCTGGCACCGAAACCAAAAACGGCAAACAATCCCTGATAGTCGTACGGCTGTAGTAATTGGCCGAAACTGTTCAGTAGAAACTCGAAACAATTGACCGATTGGTCGACAACTGTTAGTTTGTTGTCCGTAGCGGTGGTGGCGGCGGTGGCCGATGATGTGGCAGCGGCTGATGTATGCAATAATCGGTGATGAAATGGCTGTGAATCACTGGTACAGTCGATGGCCGCCATAAAGTGCAGTTGTGTACCACCGGAGCCGATATAGTCGACAAATGTAGGCACCTGTCGATAGTGTAGTTTGGATATCAATAGTAGTCCACAGTTATTGTCATTGTTGTTGTTATGGTTGTTATGGATGTCCAATGATTGAAGTTTATGTAGACTTTTCAACAATAGGCTCTTCCGTTTGGATGACTTATCGGTCGCCGACGCAGCCGATGATTGGCCACCTTTTTTCTGACCTTTCGGTGACTTATTATTGCTATTGAGATTCGGATGTCTCCTGAGCTCCAGTACGGACAGACCGCCAGTTATAAACTGTTTGTTCAGTTCATTTAGGGATGTATTGACAGCACCGATAAAATCATCGCTAGTATGTCTGTCCCAGTCGTAGACGGATATCCGTAGCCGACGATAATGATCGCAATCGCACAGATCGTGTACTCTGACGGTAAACTCTGACCAAACCGGTGCCAGTGTTTTGTGTATGGTTTCGCTTCGGTAGACTTCCAGCTGGTGTTGGCCATCCGGTGATTCTTTAGTGATAATCATGTATGGATCAGATGAACCTAAAAAATCTTTTTGCGGCAGTGTTTTGGCCTCGAATTTCATTTGGACAGTCTGTTTGGAGGCCAATACCTTAAAAAAAACCCGAAACCGTAATCAATCAATCAGTCAATCAATCAATCAATAATTAATTAATTAAAAAAATTACTAATAATTAGCTTAAAGTTTTTGTTGTTGTTAATTGTATGTTAAAATGTGTTTTTTGAAAAAAATTATTTAAATAATAATTAAATTAAATATAAAAGTTTATAAAAAATTATTATTWWAYMRATTTTTTTTATTATTAGTTATAAAAAAATATATTTATAATAATTATTATTAACTATTACTAAATATATTATAATGTATTGAAAATAAATATTCAATATATATATATAATAATTTTAATTAAAATTAATCGACACTTAATATATTTTATATACAGTATATACCTGTACTCAGGATATACTGAACTATTTTTTTATATATATTTAATATATAATAGTTATATATTAGGTATTACCTCATAGATGGTTATCCATAGTTCTCCAGTAACCATAAGTTTGCTATACGCTTGCAATTCATTATTATTATTATTATTATTATTATTATTACTACCACTACTACTACTACTACTATTGGAGGATAACTGATGGACAGTTGGCTGAACGGACGGTAGTCTCAATCGTTTTTTAATAACATCGTCGCGTGCAGTAATCAACTGTCCTAAGTCCAGATCCAATCGGCCCAGYAGTTCATTATCGGCACATATATCGTAGTCCCAGACCTCAAACCGGAGCACTTGTAGTTCATTGAATCGATAGTCAACAGGGACTTTGACTGTCCAATCGGGACTACGGCTATTCCGTATGACTTCCGTACGACCAGTTTCGATAAAACGGTTGCCGACAACACCGGGAGTGTTATTATTATTATTATTATTGTTGGCACCGGTAGTCGTCAACATATAGACAATACATTGAGGCGACTGTTTTCTATCGTTTTTAACCATAAAATTTTTGCCTCTAATGGTTAGCTCGAGTAATGATTTATAAAATGTCATAATTAATTAATTAATTAATTTAATGACTACTATATATAATAAATAGTATAAAAATAAAATTATTTATTAAAAAAAAAATTTTAATTCAATAGTACAGTATATATTTTTTTAAAAATAAATAATAACAATATTTATAATGATAATAATAACATAAGTGTAAATTTTGTAGACATTATTTGCAAAAATTGAAATACAAAAAAAAATTGTACTAAACTTTGATTTTAATTTTTGCTGGTATTATGAGAGAAAAAAAATATATATTAAAATATTTCCCGGATATCATATATTACATAATATAAAAATTATTAGACATATTATACATATTATATATATATATATATACACTGTATATATATATAGTCAATATTTAATATTTTTATTATATCTCAAAAACTAAAATATAAGACAAAGATATTTAATAAACAACTATGGTGTATTGGAACGTACAAAATGGTGAGACCAAATTTTTTATAAAATTACTAAAATAAAATGATAAAAATATGTAATACCTCAAAATCTATAATAGATAATGAAAATCTATAAAATGTATACAAACTAGATAAAAAATAATTTGATACGTGTTTCAGCAATTTTCAAAAAAATAATTAATAAAGTTAGTATCAATTTTATAAAAACATAATATATTATTTGTAAAATATTATATTACATTTTTTATATTTAATTAAAGTAGTTTATTTTTTTCTTTCAAAAATTTATAAAAACTGCTGAGACACATGTCAAGTTATATTTTATCTAGTTTATTATACATTTAATAGATTATCATTATCTACTACAGATTTTATGTTATTATATTATTTTGATCATTTCTATATATAAATTTTATAAAAAATTTGTCACACTATTTTGTATATGATATATATCATATTGAATATCTTTGTCCTAGGTCTTTTAGTTTTTGAGATATAACAAAAATATTAGTTCCGCCTATTTTGTCCCTGATTTTATATATAGTCTATATTTAATAGTAGTTTTCCGTAAAATATAAGTAATTTTGTGTGTATGTGTGTATTGCAATTAATTTTTGATTAAATAAAATAATAATAATAATAATAAAACATTAGTAATTTATGAAAAAAATTTCGTAAAATTTTTACATTAATATTTGCGAACTATTTTCTAACATATTAATCATTTTATAAAAACATATAAATTAATAATTTATTACTTAATTAAAAAGTTTTTTAGACAATTTTTTATACAATAGKTAATAATTTTTTTTATCTAATGTTTATCGTTTAGTTACTTAATTGATAAAAATTTCTAATCAATACTAAATATACTGTATATATATAAATAATAAATTAATTAATTTGTCAATAATAATAATTTATATATATTTATATATATATATGTTGAGGAACAGGATGTCTATATATTAGTAAAATAGTGAAATACTAATAATATTTATCATTATAATTGTTTTTTTAAATAATAATTTTATTGCTAGATAATTAATTATTAACTAAATAATAATATAAACTAAATATATTTTTATAAAATGCAAATGTTAAACATTAAATAATAATAATAAATAATAATATTAATTTTTTGTTGCTTTAAATATTTATTGAATTAGTTTTTAAACTAATAACATACTTAAAATTAAATACTATAGCAACAAATATAATGTTATAATTGATAGATTATTCAATTTATTTCAAATAAATAAATAGTTTAATGAATATATTTTATTAATATATATAATAATAATAATAATAATAATAATAATAATAATAATACAGTAAATATTATTCCATATAATAAATTTTTTTAAACATTAATTAAATATTTATTATATAATTTTAGTATAACTTTTGGTTAATAATATATATATTAAAAATGTTAAAATATAAATAACTATATATAAAAATAAAAATAAATTGATTGCTAATATTGTCAAAAAAAAAATAATTGTGAAATACATTATATTCTTAATTATTAATTTTTATAAAATAATAACAAAATTTTGATTGTGTTTAAGCAGTTATTTAACAGTAAATTAACTTAATATTGATATACAGTATATAATAATAATAATAATAATAATAATATAATAATAATAATAATAATAATAATAATAATACTTTAATTATTTAATTAACTTAAACTTTATTTAATATATCGTCATATGCCTGATAAATATCGGCAATTTGTTTGCTGGTAAAGTTATGGCCAAATGTGGCCAACGGTCGGACACCATCGGGTACAGTGATCAACGATTTGTTATAATTGCCGCCCAAATGGACCGGTATATAGTCGGGTGCTATATATTGCTGAAGTTCATCACTGCTCGAAACCGACAGATAACTGCTGAGCAGCTGGTCGTCCATAAAGCCGGCAATCAGGTTGGCCAGTGCCGTCAAAAACCACGGCAAGTCTACAATCAGTATATAGCGGACAGCTTTCGGGTAGCGGTTTTGTAGACAATCAATGATAAACAAACTTTGGTCGACATCTATGTCGGCTATGGATACTTGACTGGTATCCATAACCAAACCCAATCCCTGATGACTGGCCAACCGGTCCATTAGTTCAATCTGATAGACAGCAAACTGTCTGATCAAATGTTTCCATGTGTCGCATTTGCGATACCGGTGCGACTGTCCCCACAATACTGGCCGGCCCTCCCTGTCCCTGATGAACGATACGTATACACCGATTCGGTACATCTCTTCGGGAAACGATTGGGCGGTCAGTTGGTTGACACCAAACTGTTTACGCCATTTCATTGTTGAGACCAATCGGTCAAGTGCTTCGTCCTCAGAGTCGCTGACCAATAGGTAGCGTTCAATCCACCAGTCCTTACGGTTAACCGTTTCGATGTCTTTCCGATCAAACAATTCATGGCTCGACTGGTTATTAACTATTGATAAAAATTTTTGTCTGATTTTTTCAAATATAATAATATTATTATTATTATTAGTTTTGTTGTAAAAATTCAGTGATTTTGACTGCAAAATATAAAACAAACAACAAAAATAAATAATACTTTTAATTAATTAATTATTTATATTTATATATATATACTGTAGTATATTATGTTAATAAATAAATAAATATATTAATATTTAAAAAAAAATTAAATTATGAATTATTTTTTTTGTTGAATAAATTCAATTACATTACGTATCGATTTTATTGTTGACAATATTATTATTATTTTAACTACAACTAAGATAATAGTAGTGATAATTATAATATTAGTAACAAATTTTACTAAACAATTCATAATTTTCACAAAAACACATAAAAATTTTTTTTTATTATTAATTATATTTAACCTTAAAATTAATTGATATATATATATATATATATATTAAACTAAAAGTTTTAATAAATTTCTATTTAATTACTATAAATTTTTTACAAAAATATTGTCTATTAAACACTAATAATATTTCAATCTAATGAATTTTAAAATTTAACAATTTTTATTATTTAAATAATAAATATTTTAAATTTTACATAAAATTAACATTTATTTTATTATTAAGTAAAATTCCATTAATCATAAACCTTGAATAATTTTTTAATATATATATATATATATTAGAAATAAATGTATATATAATCTCAAATAATCTAAAATAAATTAACTATAAATTACATATAAAAAAATAAGTTTATATATATATATAATTTTTAATTATTAACTAATTTAAAGAAAAATATTTGTTTCCCCACTTAAATTGTTAATTAAATTAATAAAATATTATTATATATAAAAAATAGTCAAAATTAATAGTCAAATATAAAATATTAATTAATTAATAAACTAATTATTAGTATTTTAAAATCATTCAAATTTACACTTTATTTAATATATCTTCAATAGTTTCATAAATATCTGCTATTTGTTTGATTGAAAAATTAAATTATTAATTAATATTTTATAATATAATATAAATTATTGTAATTATTATGTAAAAACTTTTTAAATAAATTGATTACTAATAATTTTTTTTAAAAAAGTGGATCAATAGATTTTATTAATTATTAATTACAAATTTAATTTAATTGTTTGATACAATAATTTAATTAATAAATTAATTTAAAAAGTAAGTAAATAATTAATAATATATATATATAAGTAATACAATAATTAAATTTTTTTTTATATCTTTAATTTAAACTTCATTTAATATATCGTCATATGTTTGATAAATATCGGCAATTTGTTTGCTGGTATAGTTGTGGCCAAATGTGGCCAACGGTCGGACACCATCGGGTACACTAATCAACGGTATATGATAATTACCGCCCAAATGGACCGGTATATAATCGGGTGATATATATTGTTGAAGTTCATCATCACTCGATACCGACCTATAGATGCTAAGCAGCTGGTCGTCCATAAAGCCGGCAATCATGTTGACCAATGCTGTCATAAACCACGGTAAGTTTACATTGAGTATATAGCGTACGGCTAACGGATAGCGGGTTTGTAGACAATCAATGAGAAACAAACTTTGATCGACATCTATGTTGGCAATGGATACTCGACTGGTATCCATAACCATAACCAGTCCCTGATGACTGGCCACCCGATCCAGGAGTTCAATCTGATAGACGGCAAACTGTTTCATCAGCTGTTTCCATGAGTCACACTTGCGATACCGGTGCGACTGTCCCCACAATACTGGCCGGCCCTCCCGGTCCCTGATGAACGATACGTATATACCGATTCGGTACATCTCTTCGGGAAACGATTGGGCGGTCAGTTGGTTAACACCGAACTGTTTCCTCCATTTCATTGTCGAAACCAATCGGTCGAGTGCTTCGTCCTCCGAGTCGCTGACCAATAGGTAGCGTTCGATCCACCAGTCCTTACGGCTAACCGTTTCGATGTCTTTCCGATCAAACAATTCATTGCTCGACTGGTTATTAACTATTGATAAAAATTTTTGTCTGATTTTTTCAAATATAATAATATTATTATTATTATCAGTTTTGTTGTAAAAATTAATTGATTTTGACTACAAAATATAAAACAAAAAATTAAAATAAATAACACTTTTAATGAATGAATAAATTATTTATTTTCAGTATATATATTAAGTTATTAGTTAAAAAAAATTATTAAATAAATAAATAAATATTAATAACGAAAAATTAAATTATTAATTACATTACGTATCGATTTTATTGTTGACAATATTATTATTATTTTAACAACAACTAAGATAATAGTAGTGATAATTATAATATTAGTAACAAATTTTACTAAACAATTCATAATTTTTCATAAACAAACAAAAAATAATTTTATTATTATTTATTTTAACCAAAAAATTAATTGTTTGTTTTTTAACTAAATGTCTGAATTATATATATATTATTATATATATTAAAATAAAAGTTTTGAATAAATTTTTAAAAATATTGTTTATTATATACTAATATTTCAATCCTATATACTGTACAATCATTTATATAATCTAATGAATTTATTAATTTAACAATTTTATTATTATTTAATAATAAATATTTTAATTTTATATTAAAAAAAACATTTATTTTATTATTAAATAAATTTCCATTAATCTTAAACCTTGAATATTTTATTTTTAAATATATATAAATATAATCTAAAATCATTTAAAATAAATTAACTATAATTTACATATTGGAAAATAATATATATATATATATATATATAATTTTTAATAAAATAATACTGTTAAAAAATAGTGTTATAAATTATATTTTTAATTATTAACTAATTTTAGAAAAATACAATTTTTTATCTAAAAAATTGTTAATTATATTAACAAAATATTATTATTATAAAATTATAGTCAAAATATTAACAATATTAGTAATTAATAAACTAATTATTATTTAAATTAAAAAATTTACACTTCATTTAGTATACCGTCATATGTTTGATAAATATCGGCAATTTGTTTGCTGGTATAGTTGTGGCCAAATGTGGCCAACGGTCGGACACCATCGGGTACACTAATCAACGGTATATGATAATTACCGCCCAAATGGACCGGTATATAATCGGGTGATATATATTGTTGAAGTTCATCATCACTCGAAACCGACCTATAGGTGCTAAGCAGCTGGTCATCCATAAAACTGGCAATCAGATTGACCACTGACTCCATAAACCACGGCAAGTCTACATTGAGTATATAGCCGACGGCTAACGGATAGCGGGTTTGTAGGCAATCAATGATAAACAAACTTTGGTCGACATCTATGTTGGCAATGGATACTCGACTGGTATCGACAACAACACCCAATCCCTGTGGATGACTGATCTGACGGTCCATAAGTTCAATCTGATAGACARCAAACTGTCTGATCAATTGTTTCCACGAGTCGCACTTGCGATACCGGTGCGACTGTGCCCACATCACTGGCCGGCCATCCCGATCCCTGATGAACGATACGTATACACCGATTCGCTACATCTCTTCGGGAAATGATTTATCGATCAGTTGGTTGACACCGAACTGTTTACGCCATTTCATTGTCGATACCAATCGGTCGAGTGCTTCGTCCTCCGAGTCGCTGACCAATAGGTAGCGTTCGATCCACCAGTCCTTACGGCTAACCATTTCCGTGTCTTTCCGATCAAACAATTCATKGCTCGACTGGTTATTAGCTATAGTTAAAAATTTTTGTCTRATTTTTTCAAATATTAATATATTATTATTATTATTAGCAGTTTTGTTGTAAAAATTATTTGATTTTGACTGCAAAATATAAAACAAAAAATTAAATAAAACTTTTAATTAATTAATTAATTAATTAAATTTATATAGTTATTAAATAAATAAATATTAATATTGAAAAAATAAAAAATTATGAATTATTTGAATAAAATTCAATTACATTACGTATCGATTTTATTGTTGATAATATTATTATTATTTTAACTACAACTAAGATAATAGTAGTGATAATTATAATATTAGTAACAAATTTTACTAAACAATTCATAATATTCACACAAAAAAAATATTTATTAAAATTATTATTTTTAACCTAAAATTAATTGTTTGTTTTTTAACTTAATGTCTGAATTATATATATATATATTAAAATAAAAGTTTTGAATAAATTTTTAAAAATATTGTTTATTATATACTATTTCAATCATATATATATATATATATATATATATATACTGTACAAACATTTATATAATCTAATGAATTTATAATTTAACAATTTTATTATTATTTAATAATAAATATTTTAATTTTACATTTATAAAAAAAACATTTATTTTATTATTAAATAAAATTCAATTAATCATAAACCTTGAATATTTTTTWAAAATAAAAATATATGAGAAATAAATGATTTAAAAAAATTAATATTTTATTTTTAAATATATATATATATATATAATATCAAATCATCTAAAATAAATTAACTATAATTTGCATATAWATTGAAAATAACTTATATTTTTAATTATTAACTAATTTTATAAAAAAATACAATTTTTTTGTCTTAAATTTTTAATTAARTTAACAAAAAATTGTTATTAAAAAAATAGTTTAAATAATAATACAGTAATAGTAATTAATAAACTAATTATTATTATTATTTTAAAATTATTCAAATTTACACTTCATTTAGTATATCGTCATATGTTTCATAAATATCGGCAATTTGTTTGCTTGAAAAATTGTGGCCAAATGTGGCCAACGGTCGGACACCATTGGGTACAGTGATCAACGGTTTGGCATAATTGCCGCCCAAACCGATCGGTATATAATCGGTTGATATATACTGTTGAAGATCATCATCACTCGAAACCGATTTATAAGTGCCGCGTAACTGGTCGTCCATAAAGCCGATAATCATATTGATTACGGCCGTCATAAACCACGGCAAGTCTATATTGAGTATATAGCGGACACCCATCGGATAATGATTTTGTAGACAATCAATGAGAAACATTGAATGATCGACATCCAGGTTGGCCATCGATAGCTGATGGCTATCGGCAACTAGCAGCCAACCCTGATGACTGGTCTGCCGATCCATTAGTTCAAATTGATAGACCAGAAACTGTTTGACCAACAATGACCACGCGTCGCATTTGCGATGTCGATGGGACTGTGCCCACAACATTGGCCGTCCCTCACGATCCCTGCCGAACGATACATAGGCACCGATTCGGTACATTTCTTCGGGAAACGATCGGCCAGTCAGTTGGCGGACACCGAACTGTTTCCTCCATTTCATTGTCGAAACCAATCGGTCGAGTGCTTCGTCCTCAGAGTCGCTGACCAATAGGTAGCGTTCGATCCACCAGTCGTTACGGCTAACCATTTCCGTGTCTTTCCGATCAAACAATTCATGGATCGACTGGTTATTAGCTATAGTTAAAAATTTTTGTCTGATTTTATCAAATATATTATTATTATTATTATTATTAGCAGTTTTGTTGTAAAAATTATTTGATTTTGACTACAAAATTAAAAACAACAAAAAATTAAATAACACTTTTAATGAATTAATTATTTATATATATATATATATATATATATATATATATATATATATATATATATATATATATATAATGTTAATAAATAAATAAATATTAATAATGAAAATAAAATTTATATGAATTATATGTGAATAAACTGTAATTATAAAACAAAAAAGAAAATAAATAACACTTTTAATTCAATTAATTAATTATATATATATAAAAGGGTTTTTCATATATTTAGCACATGCGGTTTTTGCTATAATTCTTAAATGGTGTGAGATATATTAATTTTGTAAAAAGTGTATTAAAATATGATTTACGCGTGATATTATAAAATTTTTAATTTTTAATTTTGATCACGTGATCATATTTATTTTGGGATGTTTGCAAACCACTATGTCAGAACCTAATCTATAAATGATAGAATAAAATTTCAATTATATTTTTGTAAAGCTTACATTGAAAATTTATGGAAAGAAAAAAATTTTAAAATTGGTCAAAGAATAAAATTTTTATGGTTTTTCAAACTTGTGGAATAACACATTATATAAAATAGTCAAAAATAAAATGACGTTATTTATGGATAGTAGACACTAATTAGATAAAGATTTTAATACTATTACTTATTCTAAAAACAAAATTTTTTTATGTCGAATATTTTTTTAGATATTCAAATTACAATAAAAAGCACAACATAATAATTCGATAATGTAATTTGTAATTAAATTTTATTATTTTAAAAAATATTCGACATAAAAAAATTTTGTTTATAGAATAAGTAATAGTATTAAAATCTTTATCTAATTAATGTCTACTATCCATAAATAACGTCATTTTATTTTTGAAAATTTTTATATAATGTGTTATTCCACAAGTTTGAAAAACCATAAAAATTTTATTCTTTGACCAATTTTGAAAATTTTTTCTTTCCATAAATTTTCAATGTAAGCTTTACAAAAATATAATTGAAATTTTATTCTATCATTTATAGATTAGGTTCTGACATAGTGGTTTGCAAACATCCCAAAATAAATATGATCACGTGATCAAAATTAAAAATTTTATGATATCACGCGTAAATCATATTTTAATACACTTTTTACAAAATTAATATATCTCACACCATTTAAGAATTATAGCAAAAACCGCATGTGCTAAATATATGAAAAACCCTTTTATATTAGATATAATGTTAATAAATAATAAATAAATATTAATAATGAAAATAAAAATTATATGAATTAAATGTGAATAAATTCATTACACTTTTAATTAATTAATTATTTATATATCGATAAAAAAATGTCTATTAAGTGATATTATTATTATTATCGGTTATATTGAGAAAAAAAATTATTTGATTTTAATGACTGGAAAATAAACTATTTATAAATAGTTTATTTTTAAAAATATTTATTTAATACTAAACATTACTTTTTAATTAATTAAATATAATATTAATAATAAACTATAAATAATTAGCAATTATAAAATGCTCTTACATTTTGTTTTGATGACACTATTAATGATAATATTATTATTATTAAAATAACTATTAATATGATTAGAGTTATACTAATTAGAAAATTTGTGATACATTTAACTAAACGATTCATAATATTTTACTATTAAAAATTGTTTTCAATTGTAATTTTAAAACTTTATTTTTTTTGAAAAACTAAATACTAAAAACTTTTTTAATATTATAGAAAATCAATACAACTATCAATTAAAAATTATTTGTGGACAACACATAAATATATATTATATTTTGTTTGTTAAACCTTGAATATACTGTATATAAATATATATATATAATTAAATAGATTTTATAAAAATATATATACAGTAATTATACAGTATATGTATATTGATTTATTTGAAATATAATAATTATAACTGTAATTAATTGCTGGTTATTGTTTTAATATAACAAAAAAATAATAATGTTTTGTAATTAAATACTTAATAAATATTTTTGCATTTGTTAAATATCTTTATTTTTATAATCTTAAAATATCATCAATATATATATATATATATATATATATATATATATATTATTTATTTATTTATTAGCTTTTAAAAATAAGAAATTAACAATTTAATTGTTTTTTTATATTTTACATTAATTCAAATTAAAAACTTAATTATTCAAGGTATTTATTTTAATAAAATAAATTAACACACAAAAATAAATCATAAAATTCAACATTGTTTTATTATAGTTTATAATTATTAAAACTAAATAATAATTGTATTAATTATTATTATTATTATACATAGAATATAATTATATAGTATACTAAAAAAAATAATAAATATTATTAATTAAATATAATATATTTAATAGATAATTATCGATAAATATACTTACATTTTGTTTTGAAAACACTAATAGTGATATAAATATTATTATAATAACTAGTACTATGATAATAACAATAATAGTAAATTTAATTAAAAAATTTGTTATACATTTTATTAACCGATTCATTATATTTTTAGTAAACAAAGTTTATTTTAAATTAAAAATTAAAACTTTTGTTTTTAAAATAAATGTCAGAAAGTTATTAATAGAAAAGTATCAAAAAATATTACTTTATTAATATAAAACAAGTTTTTAAAAATATATTTTACAAAAAAAACCTGAATATATATGAAATTAAATAACTTTTAATATAATAAGTGGTATATATATACTATATATATATATACATATTTTGTTGTTAAACTGCTGTTAAAAAATTATTTTCAAAAACTTGTTTGTTTTAATTATACATAATAAAAATTAATGATAGTGATAAAATAAAGGACATTTAATTTATTTTTAATAAATATATATATAATCTTAAATATATTTACAGTATATCTCATCAATTAATCATCAATTAAATAATTTTTTTAACTTTATCAAATAAGAAAGTTCATTAAATATTTTTAAATAATAATAATAATATTTTACATTTATTATATAATATATATATATATATATTTTTAGTTTATGTTATATTTTGTATTTATGTTATTATTAATTAAATGTCAATTGTTTTAGTATATTAAACATTTATCATATTATACTAATAGAGAAATATAAAAATAATAGTAAAATTATTTTTAATTAACTTAACATTATTTACAAGATATTGGAAATTTGAAAAAAAAATTAAATATAATTAATTAATAATATAATTAAATAATAATATAATTAAATAATAATATAATTAAATAATATAATAATTAAAAATATATACAAATAATATACAATATATATTTAATATTAATAATAAATTTTTCTAAATTAGTTAAGTTTATGAACTTTTAAATACTATTTTTTAAAAAAAATTTAAATTATTCAAATATTTTTGCAAAAAGCTTTTAAATATTATCTATATATATTTATACATGATATATATATTTAAAAATTTTAAAATACTAGTTTATTTACTTAAAACAAACTATATATTTATAATTTTTTTTTTAAAAACATTAGTATATATCTGTATTGTAATGACTGTCTCTGTTTCAAACTATATGATGAATAACATACTATAAATGTTATATAATTTTGTGGTAAAATTAAAAAAAAAAATATTTATATCTATATTAATATAATATTATTTTTTATTTAAAATATTTATTTAATATTTTTAGTAATTAATCTGGTTAATTGAAAATTTTTAAATGTAATTTTAGTTAGCTTGTTTAGTTTTTTTTTGTAAATAAAAATATTTTTACTAATTATAATTATTTCTAGATTTTGTTATTAATAATATTATTAAAATACCTAACAAAGTACTTAATAATAATAATAATAATAATAAAAATTATATTTACAATTGTTTTACGTAAAAAAAGTAATAAACTATCTAACAATAAATAACTAAAAATATATGAAATAAATTTTAGCAAAAAAATTAATAATATTTATATTATATTAATTTATAATAATTTATTATATTTAAAAAAATTTATTTTTAATAACTACTATTAGTATTCTAATCATTTGAATTTAATAATTTTAAAAAACAAAAAAAAATAAATAATAATTTTTGCTAAAATTTTTTAAATTCATTATTTTAAAAATATTTTTATTTTAGCTCCGATTTATAGACCGCATAAAACTTTCTAATCTGATCGTCGGTAAACTGGCCACTCATTGACTGGTCAGTCATCTGTAATACATTATCTGGTATTACCGACCCTAGTGGTGGTCCACTATACAGACCGCCCAAATGAATTGGTATCCATTCGGGACTCAGATATTCCCTCAGATCAGCCGATTTGATGGCCCGATAGATACTCCTCAGCGAATCGTTCATAAACGATACGATCAGCTGAGCCGTTGCTTTCAAAATCCACGGCAAATCTACGGCCAACAAATAGCGGGGTCCCCCGGGATAGTAATGTTTTAATACATCGATCATAAATCGGGACAACTCTATGTCGACATTGGCTAGTCCGGCACCGTTAGCATCGTTTATCAGACCCCAACCCGCGGCTCCCGCCTCACGATCGGCCGATTCGTATTGCCAGACAATAAACTCTTTGAACCGCTGAAGCCAATCGGGTCCGCACTTACGGTAGCGGCTATTCTGGACATAAACAACCGGGCGATCAGCCCGGTCTCGGCAATACCTAACTACTAGACCAGTTGACCACATTTCCGACGGAAATCGCTGGTCACGGAAATCGTTTAAACCAAACGACTTACGCCAACGCATTGTCCGCTGAATGGCTTTTACGGCTTCGTCTTCCGACTTAGTGGTCAACAAATATCGTTCAACTGTCCAGTCGTCCGATCGGATCCTATCCAAGTCGGCCGAGTGATAGCAGCCGTCATCACAGTCACCATCACTGGTCTTAACTACCGTTTCCAGGAATTGGGTCCTAATTCTGGCAATTGTTTCCTTATTGACAGACATTTTGTTTAATTTGTTTGTTTGTATTAATTAATTAATTAATTAATTAGTAAATAAAAACTAATATAAAATCAAATGTTTTTTTATAAATATATATAATATATAAATAATTTTTATTTATTTATTTTTTAATTATCTGTTTATTAGGGTATAAAACATAAGGTATTTTTTCGACTCTCTCTCTCTCTCTCTCTCTCTCTCTCTCTCTCTCTCTCTCTCTATAAGTAGAAAAATATTTTATTAAATATTAATTATTAAATTCTTTATAACTATATAATAGATATTAATTATTAAATTATTAGGTAAATTAATAATAAATATCAAAAAATAATATGTGAGTTATTTATTAAAAATATTTTCATAATGCTTATTATGATATTATATGCAATTTGTTTTTTAATAGATTACTATTTATATTATATATTTATAAAAATGTTATCTTAATCAAAAAAAAAATAATTTTTCTAAAAAATACTATAGTTTTATAAATCTAATAAAATATGATTATCAAAAATTATTTTTGTTATTATTATTTAAATAAGTATTTAAATAATAATCTAATTGTATATTTTTTATTTTCTAGATACTAATATTATATTAATATTATAATTATTATTTGTTTTTATTATTATTTATTTATTTTTTGATAATAATTTTAATATATTTTTCAAATTTTCACTAAACTATTTAGATTTCATAGTTTTCTTATTTAAAATAATATATATATATATATATATATATAAATAATAAATTTGAAATTAAAAAACTAACTAAAATAATATTAAATTTAGTTAATTATTTAAATAAATAAATCAGTGATATTATAGTTTTGTAATGTTTTTTTAATTTTTATTTTTATAAATTTAAATTTTAGATTATTTATCCAGATCAAATAATACAGTTATTAACAATAAAAGTTTATTATTATTATTATTATTTATTTATTTTTAAATATCATATTTACAATACAATATATAGTTGTTATTTATAAATAACATATATTACACATACATTATTAAATTAATTTTCTTTAAAAAAAAAACAATTATAATTTGTTTAGAAAATATAAAATATTATCAAAAAAAAAATTGTAAACATTTTTTTAAAATTATTTATTTTTTAAAAATTTTATTTATAAAAAGGCACTTTTTTGGTAAAAATTATATTCATATATATATATATATATATAAGTTATATATAATATAATAAGTTGTATAATGATATTTAATATACAYATATATATATATATATRTATATTGCGTATAACTATTTAAAAAATTATATTCATAATTATTATATCATAAAATTTTTTTCAATAACTTTATATTATTATTATTATTATTATTATTATTATATATAATATTATTATGAAATTAATTGCTATTATGTCAGACAGCGGTTGTTAACGGATACCCATCGCTCACATTTGGCTGAACCTTAACAATGGGAAAGTGAGACATAAAAAAAATAAAATAATTATTATTAATATTAATTAATTAATTAAATTATTAAAATTTTTCGCAACTATTTTTTGGAAATATTTTTTGAAACATAGTGTTTGTGATATATATATATAACCGACATATATATATATATATACTGTATATAAATTTAATAGTTAAATAAAATATTGTAACTAACAATCTAATAGTGTACTATAATTAAAAATAAAAGTTTCAAAAAATATTTTTAATATGAATTACTTATATATTAATATACAGTATATGTATGTGATATATGCTTATTATAAGTATAAAAATTTATATTAAATATATATATATATATTAATATATTGTTATAATGCATACTATTTCCTACCCAACAACAAAAAACAATTAATAGCTCTAAAACAAAACAATATGAATAATAATAATAATAATGATAATTAATTATGTAAAGTAATATTAATTATATCAGAGAGTAATCTGTTACACAAAATATAATAAATCATATAAAATATATTATTCAGTGTTTACTATCACATATATATATAAACAGTCTATATATATATATATATATATATATATATATCTATATTATATGGTTATATAATATACAGAAATTTATTTATTAATAATATATGTGTGAAGAAATAAAGTGATATAAAAGTGTAGTTAAAACATAGAGAGAGAGAGAGAGAGAGAGAGAGAGAGAGAGAGAGATAGATAGATAGATAGATAGATAGATAGATAGATAGATAGATAGATAGATAGATAGAGAGAGAGAGAGAGATAGATAGAGAGAGAGAGATAGATAGATAGATAGAGATAGAGATAGATAGATAGATAGATAGATAGATAGATAGATAGATAGATAGAGAGAGAGAGAGAGAGAGAGAGAGAGAGAGAGAGAGAGAGAKAGAGAGAGAGAGAGAGAAAGAGATAGAGAGAGAGAGATAGAGAGAGAGAGAGAGAGAGAGAGAGAGAGAGAGAGATAGAGGGAGATAGAGATAGATAGATAGATAGATAGATAGATAGATAGATAGATAGATAGATAGATAGATAGATAGATAGATAGATAGATAGAGAGAGAGAGAGAGAGAGAGAGAGAAGAGAGAGAGAGAGAGAGATAGAGAGAGAGAGAGAGAGAGAGAGAGAGAGAGAGAGATAGAGGGAGATAGAGAGAGATAGATAGATAGATAGATAGATAGAGAGAGAGAGAGAGAGAGAGAGAGAGAGAGAGAGAGAGAGAGAGGGAATATATTATACAAAACTAAATAAAAAATAAAAAAATAAAATCATTGATTACGGTATGAATTTCAATGGCATTTGTTATGTTATCGTGAATTTGGTTATCATTTATTATTTGCTGGCCTTTAGTAGTAGTAATAGTAGTATCGATGGTCTGATGATTATTATTGTTGGCGTTATAGTTGTGAATCAAATTATTTAAATCCAAACCAAATTTATTATTATTATTATTATTATTACTTAAACTACTGTTTGATTGATGAACACCACCTGCGCTACCAATACTACTACTACCAGTTGTTGTCGTTGTTGTTGTTGTCGATGACATCATAGTCAGCGGCGATGACCGGCATATCATTGTCGGCGTTGCCGTCGCTGTCGATGACTGGCAATCGGTTATCGTCCGATCAGTCATACTGTCAATGCCGTCAAAATCGCCTGTTTTTTAATTTATTTGGTGAACAAATAAAATGAAAATTAATTAAAATTATATAAATAAATACTAAAAAAATATAGTTATATAGCTATATATAAATAAATAGATATATTCTTTATATATAATACAATATAAACATAAACAAAAATATTATACAATTTTATATATATATATATATATATATATATATTATTTCTATACTTTAACTATAATAATAATAATAATAATAATAATAATAATAATAATAATAATAATAATAATAATAATAATAATAAAAATATATTTTATTTATTTATTTAAATATAATTTTATTTTATTTTTTAGTTATTGTTGTTGTTTTGTATCTCAAATTTATATGTGATATCATTAAACAAAACAAAAAATATTGTAAATATAAAAAATAAAACTATAAAAAAAACACTTCAATTACCATATATTTGCGGAATCAGATCAGGATTTCTGATAACAATATCATTGGCCATCAGATCCAGTATAGTCTGGTCGCAGACAAGTCCGCCGCCGCCGACRCCGACACCGCTATTATTTGGCACCAAATATATTGTATATCTTTAACACCAAAAAAAAAATTATTATTATTGATTTAAATAATAAATTAAAAATAAATTGTTTTAAACAATAATAATAATACTTTTGACTATCATTTAATAGTAGGCTCTGGTTTGTTGAAACAATATCACCGTTTGATTGATTATATTGTTGTTGTTTAAGTTGCTGTTGTTGTTGTTGTTGTTGTGATAGATAGCTATTCATCTGATGATATGATGGTGATGTCGTGGTTAAAATATTATCATCTAATTGATTACTATCGGATGATTTGTTCAATTTATGTCCACTATTTTGTTGACCATCGCCGCCGCCGCCGCCGCCGCCGCCATCACCGCCAGCACCGGCAGCGGCCCGTCGACGGCCGCCACGTATTTTGCAGCCGATAATCGTTATGATAATTATCAACAACAATACGATAACAATGATGGCGGCTATCAGTACTGTCCACATGTCGTAGACTACATCCGATTGAGGACTACTGTCCAGTACTGTTAGTGACCAAAAAAAAAATATATATTTTACATATATAAAAAAATGTGTAGATTTTTGTTAAATTAAAAATAAATATATTTTTTAAATAATAATTTTATTTCAAAAAATAGTTAAATTTATTTTTAACTAAATATATATATACTGTATATATAATTAATGATAAGTTTATTTATCGCTAATATATTATTTAAATATTTTTTATTATTATATTATAAACTATTAATTTTAGTGAAAAAATAATTATTTAAATTAATTTTGTAATGTTTGCATATAATTATTAAGACTATATATATCAAAATTAATAATACATATTATAACTAAATAACTATAAATTTATGATATTTTTTATTATTATAAAAAAAATAAATTTTTTACCAAATTTTTTATTCAATAACTTATGTGTTTGTAGTTTGATATCAAACGGCAAGCTATTGCCCAATTGGTTGACGGCATAGACGACACCCGAATAGACTGTCTGCGAGGCCAACAAACCGTCAACAACGGTAAACACTGGCTGAGTATCACTAGTTTCGTTGAATACCAGTCGCTGGCCGTCCAGCATATCGTCGTAGATTTCCARCCGAAACGATTGCCTGAGGCCGCCATCATTGCCGGCCAGACAGTCGACAACCAGCGAACTGGTAGTCCGATTACGACTGTGACAATCGGTTACCGGTTCGGGTCGTCGAGGCGGCCRAAACTGATAGGTACACGGCTGGCGTACCGAACCTACTCGATTCGTGGCCAAACATTGTATGATTTCGGGGGCCGACATCTGGGCCCGGGGATCCAGTATCAGTGTACTACTGGTTTGGGTACCGGTGCTGATGATATAGTCCTGGTTGACTAGAAATCGTCTCGTAGTCAAGTTGGACGTCCACTGAAACTGTAGGCCAGTACTGGGTTCGGCGTCCATTTGACAGACCAGTTTCAGTTTATCGTCCAATGATATGATACGTACGGTAGTATTGGTTGTGGCCGGTTGTGTACAAATAGGTGCGTCTAATATATACAATATATACCGTATATATATATATATATATAATCATCATAAACATCATTATTATATATGGTATATATATATATATATATATATATATATATATATATATATATATATATATATATAGAGAGAGAGAGAGAGAGAGAGAGAGAGAAAAGAGAGAAAGAGAGAGAGAAAGAGAGCTAAACAGCTAAAGTGTTTGAACATTATCTATACAATAGTCTAAGTTATATAATAGAGAGGAGAGAGAGAGAGAGAGAGAGTATAAACTATTACTAGTAGTGTTATTATGTGAGGAATGGTAGCAATGATAGTAAGGGATGAATAATAGGATGTGGAAAGGGATGTGCGGACAGACAGTCAGTTAGTTAGTTAGTTATATACACTGCACTTACACTGTACGTTCACCCGGACTTCATGGCTCATACCCTTTCCCTGGGAATTAATGGCCAGACACTGATAGCTGCCTTTGTGTACTGGCCGGGCACTGGTTATAACCAACGATGAATTATTGACGATAATACCTGTGCACATCCATAACATATATATTTAAAGTGAGAAAAAAAATATATATAATATTATTAATAAATTGATTRAATTATAAAATTAATCAAAAAAAAAAAAAAATTGACAACATTTTTAATAATAATAATAAAAAGTGATTTATTAAGTGTATGGCATATATATACTGTATATTGTATGTATAGTTTGAGTGTGTGTTTTGAGGTTATTGAAGGAAATGGATGTTAAGAATAGATGGATAGATAGATAGATAGATAGATATATATATATATATACTGTATATAACTGTTATATACCTGACTGAGAGTCAGTAACTAATTGGATGCCGTCGTGTGTGAACAGTACGACTTTGGCTAATGGATTGGCTTTTATTGAACACTCCATTATAATCTCATCGCCATCGTTGACAACGACGACTACCGGTGCTGAGGCTAAGGCTACTGGTGCTGATGATGGTGATAGTGATAGTGGTGATGATACTGTCGATTCATCGATGGACATACCTTTGTATAGTAGGCTAACTATTGGTATAACTGTTTGGTTGGGTTTATTTGAATAAAAAAATAAATCAATTGATTAGAAAATAAAATTAAGCGAAAAAAAAATTTAATTTTAATTGAATGATAAAATCAAATAAATAGAGAAATAATATATTTTTGTAGTTTTTTTAAAAATTTAAATAAATTATTTAATTAATAAAATTTAAAGATTTTTGTTGTTGTTGTTGTTGTTGTTGTAATAATTATTATCTATTAATATATAATATTGTTATAATTATATTACATATGTATGAGAAAGAGAGAGAGAGAGAGAGAGAGAGAGAGAGAGAGAGAGAGAGAGAGAGAGAGAGAGATAGTAATAATAATAACTATGTTTTTTGTGATGGAAAACAAAATTTATTATTAATTATATTAATGAATGAATTAATAGTTTATGTATGAATATAATGGATAATAATAATAATTATAAAAAAAAGTGTTTAACTGTAATTTATATTATGAGCATATTTTTGATTGCTTTTATAATGTGTATGTGTATGTGTATGTGTATGTGTATGTGTATGTGTATGTGTATGTGTATGTGTATGTGTATGTGTATGTGTATGTGTATGTGTATGTGTATGTGTATGTGTATGTGTATGTGTATGTGTATGTGTATGTGTATGTGTATGTGTATGTGTATGTGTATGTGTATGTGTATGTGTATGTGTATGTGTATGTGTATGTGTATGTGTATGTGTATGTGTATGTGTATGTGTATGTGTATGTGTATGTGTATGTGTATGTGTATGTGTATGTGTATGTATGTATGTATGGTGTGTTATATGCAATTAAAAGTTATAATAATACTAAGCGATTTAAACATAGCGTATAACACATACACACATATATATATAAAAATAAATCAGTAAATGACTTTTGGGCTCTCATTTATTTTACACTTAAGTCCCTAATTAACAATCTTGAGCTAACTGTGCATTACTACTACTACTACTACAAAATTTATGTGCCCATACCCTATAGTGATGATGATGATAATGCTATGAATGTTCACACAGTGTTAGCCCTGTATGTATTGATGATGATATTATGCACACAGTTAGCCCCAATGTATTGGACTAAACATATTGTAATGTTTATGCAATTTGTGTGTACAGTATATATTTTGAACGGACACACAATAATAATAATAATAATAATAATTATAATTATTATTACTTTTACTGTAAAAATAATGATTCCCTTATGATAATAGTTATACAGTTATATAGCTGTATATATGTAATAAATTACATGTAAAATACATGTACTTAAGTATTAATAGTTTTTTTTGTTGATTTTTATTTGTTTGTTTGTTTGTTTGTTGAAACTTAACACTACTGTAAAAAAAATTTTTAATTAATTTTTTTATCTTGTTAATTTTTGTTGTTTTCGTTGTTGTTTATATCCATAATAATAAATTAAAGTTTGACAATATATTGTAAAATAATTATTTAATTTATTTAAAAAAAAAATTAATTATATTATTTAAATCTAAATTTGTTCAATACTA